AGACTTCTGCATGTTGAAATACAGCCTATTTTTGTCCAATTTCTAATGCCTTTTACTATTTAAAACAACATACGATTTCTCTCTACGCCTCTTTTTAGGGTATTTTTCAAGTCAAATTAGTATTATTTTTGTAAGTACTACAATAATGCAATATGGACCCCAAAACCATGATATCTCACAGAGTTATATTCATTCGAAAATGAAAATATTTAAAGACAATATAAAATGTACGTAGTGTCCGTGTGGTGACGGATTAAGAATACGGATTGTCACCATTCATCCTGTGGGTGTCGTAAGAGCCGACTAAGGGAGCAAACTATGCAGGACAAAAAAACTGCAAAGAGAAAGAAAACGACACAAACCCTATACCAACCCGTCTGGCCAGCGTGATACAGTAGGCCAAAACCTCCTTTCTAAGGAGAGGCCTATGTCCAGCAGTGGACTGTTAAAGGCTGTTGATGATGATGATGATAAAATTTACATATTCATTTATTTACTCAATGTGTTGAGTTATAAAATAGGGCAAATGTAAATTGCTGCACTTGCAAAAGCATAATTTCAGTGTCATTTTCACGCCTTCACTAGAACGAGCGTACCTCACTCTCGATTTACTTTTACGACCGATAAAGCCACGATAAGAAATGGCTGCCTCTATAAAAAAGAAACTTAAAAATCCTGTTATGAGAAGCTAATCTGCATGCAAATAATGATTCATTCCAATTAATGCCCTGAGGAGTGAACAGGTATCCAAAACTTCAGGCAATCAAGTTTCGTTTCAAATCTGCAATTGTCTGAATGTTAGTAGAGCGACAATTACAGGAGTCCATCTTCTGGGAGTTGGTTTCGATTCCCTGGCATGCTGGCAAACTTGTCAGAACTTACTAATAATATTATATTTCTCTTTAACAATGTTATACTTAATAGTTTCGGGGTTGCCATGATAGTATAAAAATATGTTGTTTCTATTTTGGTCTCATTGTATGGAAAAAAGGCTTTTAAGTTTTCTCCAGACTTGTCCTCGTTCCTCGAAGATTCTCAAGTTTCCTTCTTCCAAAAATTTTATCTGCACTATTCGAAAAAATGTTAAAACTGTACAATCTTCCCAGTACGACATATAGTATTTTTTAATTAAACGCCTAATATATACATCTCGTCTTTTAAGGACGTTATATTAATACCTATTGTAAGCGTAGTGTCAAGCTGTGGTTTCAGTGTTGAAGGTCTCTGGTCAGTCATTAATATACTTAATATAACAAATAAATCAAAATTTACTAACACGTCACGGTTAATTTCTATATTCTTCTACAACGTATCTCCATAAATGTTAGCAATAATTCTGTCTACCAAATGCTCAACGACCGGCGTCGACCGCAAGCCGGTGAATTAGCTTCCGTACAGCTAAAGTTCTAACAATACTGTGGATGTAACCGAACACGGAAGGATAGGTATTTGTGGTTTCACTGACGAAAGAGACATTATACTGCCAACTAACTTAATTGTTAGACGGCTTTTGTTCAATGAGAACCCCTGACAAAGGCATTTCGGGTATATTGGTTTAGTTAATGAAACAGTCTTTCTATAAGTAGACCGCATTCAATCTTAACAATGGACGTGTAATTAAAGATTTATTCTGAATACTTAGTGTAAATGCAGTGTTGTCAAGTAGGGGTTTCCTTCAATTTGGTACGGGGGTTGGTATTACAGATTTTATGGCAGATGTTTAAGGGAGATTTTTGTGAGCCGCTGATGAAGTTCATGACGGCTAATTGCACCATCACCCTCATTTGTTTATTTTCGTGCACTAAGAGAACGAGATTTGGTTAAATTTGTTCGTGTTTAAAGGTATCATAGGATTTAGAAAGAAGTCTAAAGAATTAACGCAAGTATCATGGTACAAAAACATTATAAAGTATTTTCTTGGTATGTCCGCATATGTAAATCTCAAGTCCACAGGTTATGGATTTCTACACATATACAACCGTATCTTATTTCATAAGCTCTGCAGTAACCATTATGAAATAATAAGATTAATTAAAAAATCTTTATTAGATACTTTACACATATTGTAGAGTAAAATTAAAAAAAGTAATCATATCAAAGAAGTGATTCAAAGTAAGAAATATAAATGATATAATGAATAAATATCTCACTATAGTTAATTTATTCAAGATTTTAAATTGGTGGTTTCGTAGAGCACCAATTTAAAGATTATTTCACGCCGTGGCTACTTTAAAATTACCAATGTTCTTTTACTCTGGTACAATCTATGCTGTCACCGTACAATAAATGATCGTATAATACGTAATTGTGCAATCGTAAAGTTCAAATTTCCTTGACATTTTGGTAACGCAACTAACGTTTGTAGTAAGCAACCTCTGCTTTCGACAGGAAGTGGCGTAATTAAGCACAAAGCGATAGACAAATTAAAAATTCATAAAATTACTGAATGAGATATCGTTACCGAAAACCATCGGATGCGTTTTTTTATGTCTATATATTTCTTCACGTTGCTCCGTAATCTCTGGAAGTGATTTTGTAAAAAGGGACGGAAGTGTGTAATAGGAAGCCGGGATAGCGCGCGCTTTTTGATTCCACTAATAAGCGGACGTGATTCTAGTTAGCTGTCAGATGGTAGGTGGGATATCAGATGTAACACTAACTCGGTTTTTTTCTACTAAGGTGGAAAACTCGCATATGGTCCGTTTAAAAAACAATTACCAGAAACGGTTATTGTCTCTGGAAATCTTAGAATGATTTTTAAAAGCTTGATACCGTAGTATTTTGAGATAAATCGGTATAGAATTCATCCTTTTGCTCCTTGCTCAGCAGTAACATGATTTTGTTTTAGATTCACCTTACGACACTAACTTCAATAGCAGAGAGGACAAAAATGTACATCTAGCGAACTTTTTGTTGAAATGTCAATGAATTATGTTATCAGACAGTCTTAAAACATGGATGATATTTTTATCTTTCTTGCAATCCAATGGCAATAGAGGTGTGAGAACTGTAACACTCATAGATCTCTCGTTTTCTTTTATAAGAGTATAAACATATGTAATTACGACACGATATCGCAGTTCCGTTCTTATTCGTCTTGAATCGCCGTGTATTCAGTGAGTTATTTAATACAAAACAAAGCATAAACGATTCGTTATATTATCTTACACATCACATTACAGAGCTAACAATCTAAGCCGACACAGCTCTATGTAAACAACTGACATATTAGACACGACTTGACAAATTGCCTACAACCATCAACCCAACCAGACCTACAATAACAGACTCTAACACAGAGGTATAAGATACAATATTAAAATATTTATACAAAAATGCAGTCTGATAATGACCTTGGCTGACATCAGACCTTCACATATATATTAACGATTACTATTTACGTATACAGGTACCTTATACTACTTCGATAATACGAGTACATAAGGAAATATTACATCACTGTGTTTAATGTAACTTACCTACATACTTTGATAGAAAAACTTTGAAGGCTGTCTAGAATTGATTGATACAATGAAAGCGTATCCAGTGATGACCCATTCAAAGAGAAAGATTACGTTACGGAATTTTGGTGTTTCATAAAAGATACGCACTTATTGGTCTTTCGAGCCTTTGTTGCTTATAGAAAAAGTGCGATCGATTCGAATAATTGAATTTAATAACTTTACTATATTTTTAACCTTAAGTACCTATGAATGTGACCTATCAGAGTACTACTCCCACTACTAAAGAAGGAACAGTAGGTAGAAATGCCAACCCATCCCTATCTGAAATGTGTAATGTTCAAGCTTGTACACAGGATTTCTTCATCCAAAAACAAGTCACAACCTAAATAATAATCCAAAGAAATCAATTATGATTTAAAACAAGAATGTTACATTACTTATAACTTGTTTGTTAATTTAAAAAATATTAAGTTTGGAATCCAGAGACTATTAACTCTACACATGTTATGATGTAATAATGCAGTATATACTTACTGCTGTCTGTGGCAATATAAATAAAAAATCTTACCTAAGAAACTTATATTTTTGTATTTAATGAACATGATTGTGCCAATCTATTTTACTTGTGTGTTCAAATTTAATGATCGAGTATGCAAAATAAAGAATGTTAATTTTCAATGGTTAGTTTCCGTTAAGCGAATAAAAATCAAAGCAAAAATATGAACAATTTTATAAAAGAGAAGAAGAATGAGAAGAATACACCAAAATAATAAATGGTAGAAGTTCTGTACATTAAAGTGGATGTTCACACCAACGATGCAACGACTAAGCCATGGGTGGTACAGTGTGAGGCTAAAACGACATGGCTCACAACAACGAGGCAATGTATACTGTGCACGATGGACGATTTAACGATAAACGCTAACACCTACGCTGCCATCACACTCTGCTGATTTAAACCTCTGCATTATTATAAGAATTTATTTAAAAGGAGTAAATTTAAAGCAAGTCTCTTATAAGACTTGAGTAGTCCAAATAAAATAATATAAATAATGATATTTATGATATTTTATATAAATAAATAAATAAACGATATTTGGATATACCAAAAAATAATATATCTATGTAATAAACAGAATAATTTTAATAATTGTAATTAGATTACACTAATATTATCAACAATGAAAACTTAGATAAATAATGCATTTTATCATCTTTAATCAAAGACTATATTTATGTAAATGTCCAATTTATATGGTAACTACTAAGCAGCTGTTAAAACCTCTTGACCATGTTACAACCTTCGAGGTCTAATCAAATAGTTTGACCTTAGCTACTGTGTATTAGAACTAGTGAGTGTTAACATGATCAAGTCTAATAAGAGTCTTATATGATTAGTGGGTGCTGCAGTGATGTGGTAGAGGGTTGCGGGTGATCAGCAGAGGTGATGGACGCCAGCGAGTGCGCGCGTGAGGCATGCGCGCCGCAACAACCACAAAGCCGATGAGGGAACATATGCTTTGACTGTCGACTCACCGAAATGAGACGTTATATTCGCATGGCCGTTGGCCAGGGGCAACGCGGTCACCAAGTCTTGCACTAAAAAACAACGACCGTCTATTAACATCGCATAAATTCGTACTGTAAACGAGGCGTTAGCTCGGATGGCCTCTGTCTTATCAATTAAATTACCAACTTACACTGATAAATTCTTCCTATTATTCGTACAAGTTATCAACATAATTTTATTATACTCTTTAAACATTATATGGTAATAAAGCGGCATTATGTACCTAGTACATTTTAACTAACACTCGTTTTTCAAGACGAACATAATTTGTTACATTATGACCTCACAATCACAGAAAAATAGGTCAAAATGATAACAGCGGCGTGTACTGATAAGAATCTAGCTAGAGTCCAGCTGCGTGCGGCCGAATCGACCACAAGTTCGCCGTGTCAATGTTATGCCCGCCTTGCCAACGCAATGAAGTAAAGATTCTCATAACTATGTATGTATATTGTGTAAGTAAAATGTCCACTACTCACCCGAACTAAAATGTGATCTCTTCACGTCTCCATTTTCTGAGTCGCCGTCAAGTGGTCGTTTCCTCGAGTCCGTGATTTCCGGACTGGGGCAAGTATCCATCCCTGTGTCAGCGGCCATGTTGAATTTCAGGGCAAAACTTTAAACTTGTCTAGCATAATTCCCATTACGTAATTGCTTAAAAATATGTACGTCTATGCGGCACTGTACATTATTTTAACATAATAATGGTAACACTTAACACTTAAACAACTAAAAACGAAGGAAATTTGAAGTTTTGGATGGTGTAGTCAATGAAATAAGAAGAGAAGTAACACTATGGTTGTTACGTCTAAACGTTTTGTGAACGTTTGTCGATACTGCGGCTGTTTGTGGCGCATGGCCAAAGTGAAGCTAGCAGCAAGTGTCACGTCGGTCGTGTTGGTACCTCTGTATTATGACACTAACCAGCTGATTGATTTAGTGCTGCTTTGTCTAGTTGTCGATAAAACTATTATGTGTGGATGGAATTTCTTCACATTTGTAAAAACATTTTTAATTTCTAAAACTACTTATGTCGCGTTACACGCTCTGAGCAGTTAGGATCGAAACCATTAAATGTGTAACAAGACTTTTTTGCGTCACTTCAGTTGGCGTGTGGACGCTGACATCTTTTAAGGATTTGCTGTTCATTTTAAGCCAAATAAAAAGAAGCCTTCACCCTCAATATTGCTTACAGAAAATAAATCACTTTTCAAAAAAATAGGCCAAACCACAAATAGGTTTTTTTTTTACTATTATAAAATAACTTAAAAATGAAGGCTATCTTTGTACTTATAATACAAGTGCCTATTTTTTCACATAACTATTTAAGCCAATTTGTCGGACGTTCAAAAATATTTCCTATATCGTTTTACATTATAATGATCACTCTTCATAAAAATATTTGATACTAACGATCGAAACTGCTAATCATCAGAATTCATAGTATCTCTAATTATACGTCTGGTCAATACTAATATTTGTTTCATACATTTCTTAATCATAACTGGTATTTATCCGTTATTCAAAGCTAGCAAGTTATTTAAAGCGTTATCCTTTATTTTGTTTATAGTGTTATGTACCTGCAATGGAGAAAATTAAAAGGAGATCAATAATACAGGGGTTTAAAAGTTAGTTCATTACAATTTCACAAGAACTTAGCAAATTTTCGATTGTGTAAAATGATGTAAGTAAGGAACGTCTCCGGTAGGTGCGATGGTGAGCGAAGCGAGGAGCGTTAGGTTAGAACTGCGACATTACAGCGTGAACAACATTTGGACTCCTCTATCTCCGTAATTATTTATCTCTGAGAGAAAGTTTAGACGATTGCCCTTCTGACAGAAATAAACTGTGACTAACCTCTAAATTAAGCCCAGAAAGAAATAGATATCATCATACATAGTTGTTATTCTTGAGTTACATTTACATTTTTCGCTAAATAATTAACGACAAAAGTAAATCTTATTTTGAATGTAACTATTCATTTATTTTTCTATCTATATTCACGTTATGAAAAACAATATTATGAGTTCAAAAAATGATGAAGATGGATTAAAATGAACACAAATCGGTATTAAAGCAAAGAATAGGAATATGATTATTCTGTGAGCCAATATAGACCCTCATAATACACATAATGTTGTAAAAGTTCATTAAAACAAGATATGGTTCTTGAATTTTACGTTATTTCTAGACCAGACTGTCATAAATTCATCAATACTCAATAACTTTATTGCTTCCATAGTGTGAATACATAGGTGACAACAATCAAGCGGCAACAATTATGGACCCTGTCGGGCGCAGCACCGTTTGTTTGGGAGAGAGGAAGATAACAACCACATGTACAGTAGAATATTTTGTTTCTAATTAATATACTCGTAGTAGGATAAAATCATGGTAACTATACATGTCATGTATTATTATATTTTTAATTATAATCAATAGTGTTAGTTTTATTTGTTCATAATTTTAAAATTAATTTAATAATGTATAAGAGAATAAAATATTGTCCATTATTTTAATTATTTATTAGTTGTTATTTTAATTATTTGATTGATATCAATATCTGTCTTGCGTGTATAATATGTTGTAATCTAGCCGTATATAGAAGTAGTATAGTATAGCCTAGACTATAAGGTATAATCTAGCCACAGTCGATTTATCTCCTGAATCAATGCATTTTTAAGTGAAAATGGTATTGAAATAGGTTCAGCCGTTCATCAAATTTTCATTTACATACATCTAAAATCACAAAATGTGTTATCTTTAAATTGTTGCAATTGACTTTTTTTTTAATATTTCATTTTATTTTCATGATTTACTGTCGACATTTATGTCGATAACCTAGTTTAAAGAAATAAGCACGACTCTACAAATACATAATGCGCCAAGGTCGTTTGTTAACCACTCAGCGTCTGCTACTAGCTTCAGTCTGGTGGTACTAGTGGCGCTATATTTAAAAGTAAAAATGTAAATAAGTTTAAAAATCAAATATCTATAGTACAGTATAATAAAAAAAGGTTTAATTGCTCTGTGCTCAGAAAATGTAACAAAATATCCAATAATAATGTTATTATTAGGTGATGAATTGTTGAGATGGTATAATAATATTCTTCGAGATTCATGTATACTGGTTTAGATAAAACATTTTAGTAAAGGTATCGATAGTAGGAATATGATGTTGTTAACTACTTTATACTATAAGAATAAAGATTTTAAAATATGACGCCATTTTGAAAGCTAGCAAAATCAAAACTCTAAACTAGGTCAAGGATTGAGCTAAGTGGTTCTATCTCACTCTTACAAAGAGATCTGGGCTATTTTAGGTCATGTAAAGAAAGAGTAGGTTTTTTTTATTTTTTAGACACTAAGTATACTTAACCTATTGCATTGACATAATAACATTTCTGATATACATGTAGTTAGCCAACCGACTGCTGGTATATATAATTATTTTATTAAATAAACCACGATAAATAATCTAGGCTCAGATCAACGTTTTCTTATTTAAGTTAAAATTTATTTTTTATCAGGAAGCTTATAAAGAGTTTTGAAACATCTAATTTCTGTTCTTGTTTATATAAATTGTCGTAGCCGCATTGCTCGTAGCGCATTGCGGGAGATTTCAACGCCATCTGTTCTTTAAACTACATAACTAAAAGTTGAACTAACAAAACGACAGTAAAACAGTTTTTGAAGTATGTTATTAAAATAAAATTGTTTTGGACCTAGGATGGTTTTTTTATTCGTATGTAACCTTACGTGTATATTGCGGAAAGGGCCTATAGTATACCTACTGTCTACTATACTATGACGAATTTAATAAGTAGCCATAAACTTCCTTCCTCACTCAATCTGTACTTCTATGGAATGCTCTTCCCCAGGATATCAGAATGGCGACCAGTCGTAGTTCGTTTAGGGCGAAGGTGCGGGCTCTTCTTGACCGGAATGTAGCGGAATCATCACAAATATGATACTTTATGTATTATGGTATATATGTATGTGTATATATATAACACAATATATATGAATATGAATGTATGTATTCTTGTATGTATACGTTGGTATTTATATATTATTTCATTGCTTTTTGCTCAGTATTGCTATCATTACTTCTTTTATGTCCACTTTATAACTCTCAACCAAAGGGTAGTGCACCTCCACACTCATTTCCACACCACCCTAAGGTAGACTGGTAGAGAATGCCTATGGCATTAGGTCCGCCATTGTACTTGTGTGCATAAAGTTGATAAATAAATAAATAAATAAACTACGTTTGTATTGCGACCATTATTATTAGCTTGATATTAATTTATTGTTATACTATCAATGAAAGTACCCAAAGCAGTTTGACGTCAACTCCTGTGTGATCGCAAAGAGCGTGATCACAGAGTGTGTGTAACCAAAATTTATTAATCACGAATCCATATTCATATGTACTTTTTTATATCGTAAGCGTGTATCTACAGTATAAAACAACAACTATTCGCGCCCGTTTGGGGTAATGGTTTCATCGAAAGTTTTAAGCGATTAAGTAAAACCACCCACCAGTTGTCTACAACAATGTGACTATACCTTTTAGTGCAGTGGTAAAGAACCTGGGGTTATACGAGTATATCGACTCGACACTTGACTGGCATAAGTTACACACGTCAGCCTGAAAGTCACCACACGTCTCCGCGCTTTATATCCAGTGAAGAACTTCCTTCCCGCTAAAACTAAGTCTACGCTTATGAAGTCCTTAATTATTCCCTTAATCGACTATGGTGATGTGTGTTATTTTGACCTGAATGCAGACCTTCTCAATAAACTAACTACATAAATAACTGCATTCGATTCGTTTTCAATCTTCGCAAGTATGACCACTTGACTGCTTTACGTTCTCAGCTGCAATGACTCCTAATTCGTCAGCGCCGCAGTTTGCGAGCACTGACTTCACTCTTTTCTTTCCTCAACTCTTCATAGTTACCTGAATACCATTTCTTGGGTCAACAAACAATATGCTTCTTCTATCCCTCACACCTCCAACTTCATCAACTCCTCCTTCTACGTCCAGTGAGTTCTTCTCTGGAATGCCCTCCCTGCCGAAGTCAAGATGGCTACAAACCGCCTTGCATTCAAGAGAAAAGTGCGCCATCTTCCTCGAAGTGAATTGGTAGAACAGTCACAACGCTAGTACCCGACTGAGTATTTATATATTTTATTAAATTTATCTAGGTTTATGTATGTATGTTCATTTATTGTGTATATCTCTGGACTTTAATTATAATAGGTATTTACCTATGAAATTGCCGTTTTGTATGCAATAAGTGAAAGTACTTATTTTTTCAAACTTTTTTATTACTGTTATTCGAAGTAATCACCCATGCAATCGACGCATCTTTGCCAACGCATTGGCAGTTTATTGATGCCCTTCTTGTAAAAATCAGCTGGACGGGAGGCAACAAACTCTTCAAAGGCATTTTGTACTGCCTCTCGGGAATTGAATTTTTTACCCACTAAAAACTTGGAAAAAGTTAAATTTTGGAAAAAGTAATAGTCGGTAGGTTAAGGTCTGGTGAGTATGGCGGATGAGGGAGAGCTTCCAACCCCAGCTCTTG